CGAAAATAATTTTTAAGAGGGTTGCCGCCTGTTTTGAAAGTGGTATTTCGTTTAATTATACATAAGTTACATGAAATTTTAAAATATGGTTATCAAAAGAACGAGTGTTAAGAAATCTTGAAGGTGAACATTTGGTTTTTTTGTTGAAAAAATTAAGCTCAAATTATTTAATAAGTTAAATGGACTGTCAAAAGATGGGTATCAATCGAAGTGGATTTGAAAATAATTTATTTCTAAACTGTATTTAGGAGAGTTGCCATGTGCTTAAACAAATTAAATTCAACTTAATTCATCAGTTAATTAAATTTTAGTTTGAAAATACTTACTCGGAAGTTTGCCATTGCCTGCCGAGAAACGATCGCTGTTAAGAAAAAACTGTTTTTCTAAATTTTTTGCGATGTGGTTCGACCAGGGCTTAAACCCAGGTGCTGCGGAGTGGATGCGCGCACTGCTTGCCACTACACCACAGCGGATATAAACCTTAAGCTAATACTTCAAAGATGTATGATTTTTATAAATTAAAGAAGCAACTTTAAAAGAACTCCTCCAAAAGGCCTTCTGCAGGACGTGCTATAAAAGCCCTTCTGGAAGGCCTTCTCTGGGTAGCGAAAGGAGAAGCCACTCCATACAAAAAAGGAGAAAGGAATTTAGAGTGGAAGGCCTCTTAACTCTCAGGAAGGCCTTTCGGAAGAGCTTTTAACTCCTGAAATTATCTACTGGGTATGGCAGTTACTGAAATTCATGGTACAATAATTACAGGTATTGTCTTCCCAGAGAGCGCATATTCCGGTCTGCCTTATTTAAAAAATATCATTGTTGCCCACAGTAAAAGGTTTACTGCTAGGGAAAAGGGATATTTCCATACCACATATACCATATATGTATACGTATTTTTTTAAACAAACCTTCTTGCAGAGAACTTATTTAATTTGCAAAAGGCGGAAAATAACATTTGCTTTGCTTCTTCTTTTGCTTGATATTTGGCGCTGGAAACGCCTAAGCGATTTTGGCCGAGTTCAACAAAGCACGCCAGTCGTTTCTTTTCTGTGCCAACTGGCGCCAATTGGAAATGCCAAGTAAAGCCAAGTCCTTCTCCACCTGATCTTTCCATCGCAGTGGGGACCTCCCTCTTCCTCTGCTACCACCAGCGGGTTCCGAGTTGAATACTTTCAGAGCTGGAGTATCGGTGTCCATTCGAACGACATGACCAAGCCAGCGGAGCCGCTATATTTTAATTCGCTGCACTATGTCCATGTAGTTGTAAAGCTCATACAGCTCATCGTTCCATCGTCGCCAACGCGTAAGGGCCCGTAAATCTTCCGCAAAACTTTTCTCTCGAATACTCCAAGAGCCGCCTCATCGGATGTTGTCATTGTCCATACTTCTGCGCCATATACCAGCACGGGCATGATGAGTGACTTATAGAGCGTGGTTTTCGTACGTCGAGAGAGGACTTTACTCCTGAACTGCCTACTCAGTCCAAAGTAGCACTTATTGGCAAGAGTGATTCTGCGTTGGATTTCAATGCTGACATTATCGATGTTAATGCTGGTTCCCAAGTAAATGAAATTCTCTACTTTCTCGAAATTGTAGCTGTCAACAGTGACGTGGGTGCCAAGGCGCGAATGTGCTGACTATTTGTTTGATGACAGGAGATACTTCGTCTTGTCCTCGTTTACCACCAGGCCCATTCGCTTTGCTTACCTATCCAACTTGGAAAAGGCAGAACAGACTTCGCGGTTTTTGTTACCGATGTTGTCATCGGCATAAGCCAGCAATTGCACGCTCATGTAGCAAATTCTTCCTGAGCGGTTCAGTTATGCAGTTCTTATTATCTTCTCCTACATTAGATTAAAGAAGTCACATGGGTCTGAAGCCCCGTTTGGTGGCGAACGGCTCGGAGATGTATTTCCCAATTCTCACGGAGCTGATGGTATTGCTCAACGTCATTTTAAACAGCCGTATCAGTTTGGCGGGGATGCCAAGTTCAGACATAGCGGCATATAGGCAACTCCTTTTAGTGCTATCGAAAGCGGCTTTAAAGTCGACAAATAGGTGGTGAGTGTCGATCCTTTTCCCGCGGATCTTTTCCAAGATTTGGCGTATTGTGAATACCTGGTCTATGGTGGATTTTCCAGGCCTAAAGCCACACTGATAAGGCCCAATCAGTGAATTGACGGTGTGCTTCAGTCTTTCATAAAATACGCTCGATAAGACCTTGTATGATCAGCTGTTTCGAAAGCGGCAAGTTTTTGCAAATTATGCGTTCTCGTACTTCTGTGGATATTTTGTCTCTTTGAGAGCGAATGCTGCTAAATTCTTAGAATTTTTTCTTCTGGATAATTTTGTCCTCTGAATACGAGTACACACCTTATTTCATACAGCACACTAGAGTACAACTATTTGTATTAATTTTTTATTTCAAAGCGTATTCACTAAATTACAAGTTTAGAATTTTTCGAAGAATGGCTAAGGTCGGTAAACGTGATAGAAATGCTCACCTCTATAGCTTTCTGAAGCCAAAATTTAAGCTACACGCTGTTACCAAAGTTTCTGAAAGAGATATGAAATCGATAGTTTTTAACCGACTTCAAAAAAGGAGGAGGTTTTCAATTCGCCGGAATATATTTTTTTGTGTACATATGTTACCGCATAACTTTGTACCACGTTAACCGATTTCTATATTTTTCTTAGAGGGAAGGTGGTACCTTAGAGGTGGTCCCATACTTAGTTGGTATAGATCCGATCACTGGACCGATCATGAAGAAATTAACGGAACCCTTAAATTTGTATATGAAAATTGAAGTCGGTTTTGTTTTTTGCTTAAAAATTACCTATTTAACGATTTTTTTTTCATATGTATAAATGAATTAAATTGGCGGCCGCTGTGGTGTAGTGGTAAGCACTGCGCGCTTTCACTCATCAGCACCTGGGTTCAAGCTCTGGTCAAAGCAACATCGCAAAAAATATAGAAAAACGTTTTTTTCTTAACAGCGGTCGTCCCTCGGCAGGCAATGGCAAACTTCCGAGTGTATTTCTTCCATGAAAAACAGCTTCTCTTAAAAATACAATCGCCGTTCGGCGTCGGCGTAAAACTGTAGTTCCCTCCGCTTTGTGTGACAACATCAAGGCGCACGTCACAAGTCGGAGGAGAAGCTCGGCCAAACACTAACATATGTGTTATGTGTCTTTTCAATAGAATAACCCTTAAGGCCCGTCCACATAAAACTTTGGCGTTGCGTCGGCGCTGGCGTCGCTTTGACAGCAGCGCGAGTAACGCCCGTGCTTGCTACAATGAACGCTTAGCAGAGAATACTTTGGTCACTAAATTAACATACTAGCGGCAGAAACACCAAAATTGTACATCAATAATTGCATTAAAAACTATATTTATTGCCTGCATTTGATTAAAAATGAAAATTGAATCACATAATTTTGATTATTTGGAACAGCTGACGAATGACGCGCGCGAAAAGTTGAGAGTTGACCATCTTTCTGCGTAGTGTTGGCGTTGTCGTTGCCCAACTTTGGTTATGTGGAGACTTTCATATAAATGCATGAATATATAGTCAGCTGTCGAAGCGACGCCAACGCCAACGCAACGCCAAAGATGTATGTAAACGGGCCTTTATGTACTCAGCTTTACCGCAGAGTATGTACATATCTATCTATGTATATATATAATACCAGAAGGGATGTTTTGTCCAGGTCATCAGATCTGCACCGTCCTATCGATTTTCAAAAATGAGATGTCAAATTAAAGGGCTTGGGCTGTAGATGTGCAGTAAGGTTTTACTTTTTCGATAAGAGTTGCCACCTGTTAAATAATTACACTCAAGTTTTTTAATAATAAATGCCCTCAGATCCGTACCATTCGTTCGATTTTCAAAAAGGAGGCGACAAATTAAAGGGCTTAGGGTGCGGATGTTAAGAAATCATGCTCAAATTATTTAAAAAGTCAAATCTATTGTTACAATATGGGTATCAACCGAAATGGTTTTGAAAAGGCTTTGTATCTTAACTACATGTCGAAGGGTTGTCACATGTGGTAAAAAAATCTAATTCAATTTTAGTTAAAGAAATTTGGTAAGTGAATAAGGTATGGGTGTCAGACAAAAATGAAGTTAAGATGGTAGTAGTTTGGAAAGATTGTGAAGAGGGTTGCCACCTATTATTTTATACCCAAGTTATATGAAATATTAAAAATGGATGTCAAATGAAAAAGTTTTAAGAAATATTTGGCAATTCAGAATATTTTTCATGTGTTTGAGGGTTGCCCCTGTTTAAAAGCTTAAATTAAAATTATTTAATAAATTAAATGAATTACTAAATGATTTTGATCAATGGAAATGGGTTTAAAATCCTTTATTTCAGAATTATATTTAGAAGGATTTCCGCGTGTTTACAAAATAAATTTCAACTTAACTCATTAGTTAGTTGAAATATTTATAACAATAACGAAAAATATTTAGGGAAATTTTAGTTGGACCAAACCTCATTGCCTGATACCAACGGCTTTTGCAAATTCAAAAGGATTCCAAAAAAATTCACAACCCTACTTTTTAGTTTCCTGCCAGTGCGTTTCCACTTTTTCAAAGCACTTTATTTTATGAATTCGCGAACTATGCATAAACGGGACCATTTTTGAATTCATAAAATGAAGAATTCATGAATTCTGTCGCATAAACGTAGTATATAAGAACCTAGAACGCGTTTATGCTTTCTTTCCCTTATGTTACTACAAACCTAGGGGTACCTAGTAATTATATGATGGCAACTGTTCGATTTACAACAAAGTGATTATAAAAAAATTAACTAAAATACTTGTTTGTTTCTTAAAAAATACACCTTTTACGCAGTAAAATTTTTTCATATGGTGATATGGTCAACATCTAGAAAATATACCCCAAAACGATCCGGAAATAATTTGGTCCGCCTAGCTTGTTCTACACGACACACTGTGCGCTGGACGAACACTAGTAAATAAAATAACGCATTTAAAATATTCATATGTCTACACCCTTTTACGCATACATGATTTCTTTTATATTTTCGATAACAGTAATTTTCTAAACAATTACATACAAATAAAAGCTATTAACAGATTTTGATACATATTTAAAATTTATCTACAGATTTATACTCGTACAAGTCAATGCGACTATTTATAAATTACAACCTAGCGTTTCGATTTCATCCAGAAAATATTTCATATCCTCTTCCGTAAGACTTGAATTTTGTAGAACTAATCTGAAGAAATTTGGTAGTTGTCGAAGCGGTTGATAGGTGATCATCATGGATCCCTTCTTTATCATACCCTCTTTGACCTTTGGTGCGACAGCATGCAGTTTGGCGTTGAACGTTGCATCACGCTTCATACTCCGTATACTGGGTGGTATATACCAAAAGCTAACATTTGTGCACTCTGGCTTTTCCAATACCAATTCAAAACCGGGTCTCTCTTTGATTAATTCAGTTATATACTCAGACATTTTGAAAGCTTGATTTACATGCTCCTCTAGACCATTCGTACCCTTGGCTTTCCACATAAACCAAAATTTATAGACATCCGCACGCCGGCCACATTGTATATGCTTGTCACCTGTATCGTATGATGTATCGTAAAATTTATCCTTCTGGAATAGATATGTTGCATTTGTGGAATGACAACTGCTCAGTATATCCTTGTGACGTGTGAGAAAAGTAGAGCACTGCTGTGAAGCGATCAAGAGCTTGTGAGGATTCCATGTTACAGAGTCCGAGCTGGAAATGTATTGGGAGAAAGAATAAAAAAAAAAACTCAGTTAATATTGAAGTAAATATTGTGTATGGTAGAATCATACAAGGTGTTGGACATTGAGAGCGTTCTTGCGCTAATCCGCCATATTAGCTTCATTTACTAAATCGATGTTTTTTTAACAAAGTACATTTTTATCACCTTTAAAAAGGTACTAAGCTATCTCCTTCCTAAACTGCTAAGGCCGCAGCTATTGAGCCTACCGCTCAACGAAAGCAAAATAAATCTGCGAAACAAATTCCAATAGTTGTATATCAACAAAAGTCACCAAAAAGAAACTAACTACATACATATGACACCAAAGCGAAAGCAAGTGACGGGACGGCGCTAGTTTTGGATAAAAAAAAATCAACGTCTAGGTCCAACGCTGTAAATCAGCAACCTGAAAAGAATTAAATCAGCAAAATTCCATAATTGGAAAAGCCGGACAAAAAAACTAAGAAAGAGCTTGAAATCGAAAACTCAGTTCAAGCTAATGAGCCAGAATTTACTGTAAAAGTGGAGGAAGAAGAAGTAAAACAAAGTCTCAAAAAAGTCCCAAAAATATTCTTAAAAGGAAACTAAAGCAAAGAAACCAAAGGTACCCAAAACTAGGTCAAGATCAGTGGAACTAAACAATTGGAGAATCAAATAAATGAAAAAGCACGGTGCCACGAAAACTGCTGTTTGTAATGAATAGTGATGAGGAACCCGATACTGATTCTTTACATTAAACCTTCACTTTTATATACTATATATATATATATATTCATTGCTATTTTATATGATATCGACTAAAAAACTTAAACTTGTCACAACAGTAAAATATTATTTACCTGGTTTTCACCTTACTAGATCCAAGGTTCAAGAAAAATGCTTTGACTGATGAAGAAGCCTTTCAGACCTACAAAGATGATATCGTCCGATTCATCTAGAAAAAAAATTACTTCAAACAAGTAAGAGTTCCTCTGCATTATGGCGACGAACCGGGATATAAAAATATACTTTTTTCATTTGAATCAGTATTAAAAGTTCTACTGGCACCTACATTCGGCTTCTGTCCTTAAAGTCCTTAAAAAGACTCCTGACGTCCCACTCTGGTTCAAAACTCAATTTTAATGCGAATCAAATAAAATTTCTGAAATAAACAAAAACAGAAAATCACCAACCATGTTTACAGCCAAATCTGTGATTCATGATAAAACAAGAAAATTGTCCTGAAAGAAGATGGCGTATGATATTACCAAAGTAAGAAAATTATTTATAAAAAAATTTTAGAAAAAAAGGCGCATTTCTTGGAGTTTATAATCTCATTTACTTCCAGCTACTCTTAACTGCTTCTACTGGTTTTTCCCTCATTACGTTTACAAGCAAAAGGCGGAATTAAATATAGATTATTTACTTTAAGTTAAATCTCTTTTAAAAGAAAATATGTTTTTTTTTAAGCTTTTAAAAAATGCAGGCGATTGCAGGTTTTGAAAATATCGCTATTTTGTAGTTCCAATATTATTGTATCATAATAAAACAAACCCAAGGGGGGTTACCTCTTTATACAACTATGGGTTTGTCAAAAGTTAGTTGGCCAAATTTGCATGTATATGGCTTATATTACATTGTTCGGTAGTCGGCTGGGGAATAGACAAAACCAAGTTTTTCTGAAAGTTCCCAGGTTGGCGATTTTAAATTGATTTAAAAGCAAATATTTATATTATCACAAGGACTTTCTCGGGGTTTTTGTGTACGAGCAATGTGAATCCGCATTTCATTTTGCATTTCTTTTCATCAAAAACGGCAGCTGGGTGCGATTCAGCGTGCTTTGGTGCAAAAAAAAAACATTAAGGAACATAGTTTAGAAACATTGTTGAGAAACACTGTTTGCACTATTCCTTCATGTTCCTTCCATGCTTGTTGCATCATAGCGCATCCAGCGGCCGTTTATGGAAAAAAAAAAATTAAATTGCAAATTCAGATTCCACTGAGTACAAAACCACATAGAAAGGCCTTTTGACGATATAACTATTTGCATTTAAATAACTTTTAATTATCTTAAATGCTGCTCTGCGACCACAAACTTCAAATATGTAACAAAAAACACTTAAAATCGCCAACCTGGGAAAACTTTACTTTACTATATATAATGTAGACATTCCGAAAAACTTGTAGGGTATTCATATAAACACGTGACTGCCTCGTAACTGTGTAAACCTCGTAAATAAACCGGTTTTCCATACAAAATTAAACAATTTTACGAGGTTTACGTGGATATGAGGCTTTGACACGTTTAGATGAATTCATCCATTCCCCAGAAAAAAAAAATGAAAATGGCGTGCAGTGTTATTAATACGGTGTTCGCATCAGGCGATTTTACAGGCAACTTGTAGGTGAAAGCAACACTCGCCTGGTGTGAACGGCCTTTGAACTAATCGCTTCCAATGAAATTGGGGTGCAGTCAACTTTTGATTCAATTAATCGTCTCTAAAATTGCCTGGGAAATCGCCTCACGTGAACATCGTTTAAAGGCTGGGATTAATTATGTCAAAATTACTGCCATCAAAGACGCTTTCAAATTTGGTGTCAAATGCGCTTTCATTACATTTTAAAAACTGACCAAATGTCGATACCGCAGTGCATGTCAAAGACTGTCGCCAAATTTGGGTGTCAAATGATTGACATTCCGTTTTCATTACTGATGTCAAATGTGAAGTTAGATTTTTACAAAAAGTGTAGGGTCCCGACCTTTTAGCTATAGAAAAACCAAAAATGTAACTGGATACAACTCTTCATCCTGATTTAAACCTTACCAAAACTATTTACGGCAAGTAAAAAATTAAAAAGATAGAAGGTTTGGTTATATTTTTCGATATTTTGAAATATCGGCTACATAATAGATTAAACAACTCATGATGTCAAAATAAAGATGATTAGTTTATCTTTCAGTATTGTACATAACTTTTCTGATGTTTTATATTTTTAAGTCAAAAGTACTACAACACAAATTTAATATTTTCATAAAATTACCTTTTTTGCAGAAACTTGCTACAGAAATGTATATTATTTAGAAAGTATAAGTTATTACCTTATGTATACAAGTTTTTTATAAGGCAAAATTTAACGAAAGTGGTAAAAATCGAATTTTTTTTAAATGGCGTTTACATAAAATTTGTTTTAAAAAAGGTTATAGTAAATGCGTCGTAAAAAAGGTATTAAAGTTATCTTTGAATTGACATCAATACTTTTCTAATCGGTCAAGTAGTTTCCGAGATATTAAACATATTAAAAATATGAAACTTGAGGTTTAACCTGTTATGTTTTTTACTTGCCCCGAATAATTTCGGTATGGTGGAAATCAGCATGAAGAGTTATATCGATCTGCAGTATTGGTTTTTTGTAGTTAAACTGTCGGTATTGTAGCTTGAATCAGCTGTTCGCATGCCTCAAGAAAATTTTACACAAGAAAATTTCTTAGCCATTTCTTGTGCGTCATTTTATATCGAGTTCTTGCTTTGCTTGAGAGCTGCATACTGGCCTTAAGGCAGTAAAAACTTTCAAGCGCGTTATGTCAAAACTCGTATGCTGTCAAAAATACTTACAAAAAGACTGTTTACACGTTTCTTACTATTTAAAAAAAATACACTTTTATGTGGGTATTGAAAAAACGCAAGAATGTGTTTAATACTTGAATGTTCATTTATGTCCTTTAAAACTTTCCTTTAGTGAAGGAAAAATTAGTTGTGACATAATTCTAAAATTTTGACTAGGTGGCAACCCGAAAATATGTCTATATTAAAATACTTGCAAATTTTCTCTTTTGTATGCAGTGAGCAGGGCCGAAAAGTTTAGGCTTTTGCTCGAAATTACTTATTTTGCTTATCCAGGGTTTCCAAGTTTAATTTAAACGATCATACTTATTTTGCTTATTTCAATGTATAAAACTAAGTACGGATCTATTAAGTAAACGGTCAAGAAATAAATTGCTATTATTTCGTGTGTGTGAACAGTAGTGTCCAAAGAGTTTTGAGGTCTGATATTTTACAGTCTTCTGTCTCCAATTTTCCTTACGAAATTTGGAACGGGCATATGCTTCTGTTGATATCGAGGGGGCGTTTTTTCTCTTCACAAAAAACATTAGAAACCATAGTAGAAAACGTAAAAAATTTCTTAAGAACTTCTTGTTGCTTAAGGAAATTCGGCTCAATAAATTTTTCTTGGCCATTTCTTGGGCTTTCTTTTATTCTTCGAACTGAGTAAAGAAATGTTTACAAATACTTAATAACATAAAAACAGATTCGGTTTTTATTAACCAGTAACTTTAATTGCATTTCTGCTTGGCTACAAAAATTTAAAGTCAAAGGTTCGTCTCTACGCGAAAAGATTAAAAATAATTTATCTCAAATGGAGAAAAACTAATATTTAAAAAAATTAAAACAACCGGCGCAGATCTCAATTACTTGAAAAAAAAAAAAAAAAAAAACATTAAATTGTACTAAATTTTTACTGTTTTGCGAGCATATTTACCAACGTTTTTGTGCTTATCTAAGCGCTTAAAATGGATTTTTTCTTGCTTATTTTCTTTGGCCCTGGCAATGAGTATATTAATATAAAAGCCACTAGAAAAAAAGTAATGCATGCTAAATATGCCGTATTTCTACTTTTGATACAATATTTATTATAATAGTACTTCATTTAGTACTAGGTTACAAAAATACCTTATTTTATTCCAGTTTCCTTTAATTCTTCCAAAATATTACTTTTAGAAAAAGAGTGTTTGGAAGTGGCCTAACCAAAAAAATTTTTATTTGTACTTAAATACCTACTTAAACTAGTCTCAAATGAGATGATTTTAAAAATAAGATTCGCTCATTCCTTACTTTTAATGCACAAATCTATCTATCGTACCATCAATTTAAGGAGTAAGCAACCTTTGTACAAACAAAAATTTTTTGGGTTAGGCTACTTCTGCTCTCACGACCTCATATATAAATAGGGTTTTATTTAGCTATACAAATAATACAATAATTACCGTTCAATTCCATTCAGTAAATGACGATATTTCTTTGAAACGAGAGCTCCGCCACCCCAAGCTGCATCAACGTGGAACCACATGCTATATTTCTCGCATATATCAGCTATACTATTTAAATCATCAAATGCACCCAAAACCGTTGTGCCGGCTGTAGCGGATACCATTAGTGGACGAGCATCTTCACTTAAATATCGCTGGATTTTCGTCTCCAGATCGCCAACATCCATTTTACCTAAGTTATTTGTTGCAATTTTGCAAACATTTTCACTGCCAAATCCCATGAACATAGCTAATTTTTCCACGGAATAATGTGCATCCTCCGAAGTAAAAATAATCAACTGTTTTCCACCAAATAGACCACATTTCTGTAAATATAAATTAAAAAATTCTTATATGTATTTATATGTTATATTTATATGTTTATTATATGTTTATGTTTATGTTTATTTATATGTTATATGTACCACAAACATATTAGTTAAAGAAAAAATATGTACTAGCTAGTTAATATAAAAATTTTCTCATTTTTATGTATTTGGTATTGCTATCCCCCCCGTTTTCACATAGGCATTATACGTATTTTCACTAGCGAAACCAACCGTAAAGAACACATTTTAACGCTAATACGCGTTTAAAAAAATTAAATCGAATTTTAGGTTGCCAACCAGTGATCGGACTTTCAAAAAATTCTGTGTGGTAGAATCTGGGAAAAAATGTGGTAGATCTCTGGACTTGGATCAAACTTTGTACAAAAATTAAAAAAATTCTGCAATAATAGACTCTAAGAAAATTGAATCTATATATGAGGCGATTCACGTCAAATGTCCCAAGCGCGCTGAGCGGTGCAAAACTAGCTTGTTTTCGAATAGCAGAAAATGGGAAAAATAATTCAAAAACCATGATTTATATAGATTTTTGTACGGGCTATCCGATGGTGTTATGCGTTTTCCAAAATTTTCCCATTTTCACGGTGAAAATTCGCAACGAGATTTTATTTGTAATTTTTCTCAATTATGGTCATTTTTAATATGGTTTTAAGTAATCTATTTCTCAGACGTTTGTGTATCGGTCGATTTGAAATTTTCACACAATAAACTGAAACCTATTCCAAAGAATTTAAGTTTAAAAAAATTTCTTAATACTTATTAAAAACAAAATGTCGGTTCTTATAACTTTTTTATAAAAATAAATGGGGCGGTTTTATTCTAATTAAAAATGTGTGTTATAAAGTTTCAAATCTAATTTCTTTTTTTAATGCAGCAATATAGACAAATATCTGAAATAGTTTTTGGGAAACTTTCAGATTTAAATATCAGGTCGTTCAAAAGTTATAACAATATGAAGGTGATGCGTACGTGTTAGATATATTGAGTTTAAGTGAAAAAGTGAAAGTCGGCTCGGTTCGTTTGCACGAATTGAAAAAAAAAAATTAAGGCTGCATTTCTTTATTCATTCTGAACGTTTGGAATAAACTTGTCTGTTTACATGATGCAATAATGAAAGGTGTTATACGTTGGCAACTTCTCGCTCTAATCCGCCATCTTGAACTACCTTAGGAGAAACTGTGTTGTTTCTTTGCTATTTTCACTGAACATTTCCCAAAATATTAGAAAAAAATTCTGAACAAGCTACATTGATTAAATTTTCGTTGTTCGTTTTGTTCTTATTGTTGTTGTTGTTGTAGCAGCACGTAGTCCCCGAATTGGTTGGTTGTTTATTCATCTTCCCCATCTGACTCCTCCAACCTTAGGCCCAGGAAGCGAGCAGTCTCGATAGGTTGAGTCCACAACGCTTCGGGTGTCAGATGGGTGGGATATGTAGGGCATGCGAACACGTGTGTGGTGTTGTGTGGACCAGTTCCGCATGCTGGGCAGGTGTCAGCGATCTCTGGGTCTAATCTGGTTCTGTATGAATTTAGGCGGCTGCACCAGCCAGATCTGAGTTGAGCTAGCGTGGTTCTGGTTTCGCGCGGGAGTTGGAGTTCGCTCATATCGATGGGAGGCGGTCGGCCACCGAGGACTATGTTTTCGTGGCGTCCTCGTGTAGCGGAGATGACTGCTTCGCGATGCAGGTTGTTGATTCCCTCATTCTTATTCGCTGACATTTGTTTTCCAATTGCGTGAAATTTGGTAAGTATTGTAATAAAACCGAATTATTTTACAAATAAATTATAATTTTGCATTTATTAGGTCATTTCCTTAGTGTTTCGCTGACCGACCTGTGCTGGTATTGTGATTAAGAGCTAATACACGTAAGTTACAACATATTATTTTGACTTTATTGCTGAACCATTCCATTTGAGCTCTTTGTTATTTCAAAACCTAATGAACCATTTATTCGCAGATTTTTCGGACGATTCTGCTGTGCTGCGTTCCTGCTCCGCCTGTATATTGCTCCGCCCGTATTTTATAGTGTTGCGTTCCTGTTGCGCCTTTGCATTAGTGTGTGCGTTGTGATTTAGACACGTTGAAGTAAGTTGAAACCAGGTTCTCGTTTGTTAAAAGCCTAAAAAACCATTTATTTGCAGATTTTTTGTATGCTTCTGCTGTGCTGCGTTCCTGCTCCACCCGTGTATTAGATGGCTGCGTTCCTGTTAACATACATATCGTCGCTTAAAGTACAAAACCGCGTAACTGACATTTGCTGCTAAAAATTGGATTCGCTCACACACGTTTTTGGATCAATCCTTATCCATTCTTCCTGAAATATACTAGCCAAAAATGCGATTGCTTTTTACAAAAAGATAACCATTTTGAAATATGAGTGTTTTTACTCTCTAGAAATTAATTTATGCAACCTTGCATACGTGGGTTTGCATTATCTCTATACGCGGTTTTGCAATTTATTGATACATGGTTTTGTACTTTAAACGACGATATGTATTTAGATGTATGTACATGTATATCACATATATTGACTTAGATATGTATACACAATTAATGGTGTACATAAATTTTTTTATATTGAAACTAGATATGTATATAGTACATATTTTATTATTATTAGTCGGTTCAAAAAAGTCCTATCTCAAATAAAAATACTTCGAAAATGTGCTGAGATAGGGTGTTTTTGAACCGAGTTCCGAGATAGGGAATTTTTCAATCAAATTCTAAAATAGGGCGTTTTTCAGCCAAATTTTGAAATAGGGCGTTGAAAAGCTTTCTGATATCGGGCGTTTTCGACCTGGCTGCCGAGATAGGTCGATCTTCTACTCAGCCATCGATATATGGTCGAAGTTTTCGTTATATAGAAGACGATTAAACACGATTTGTTTTTAATCGATTCTAAAAAAAACTAAGGTAATTTTTAGCCACTTCAAACTTGCATATAATTAGACTAAAATTGAAGGGGCTATAAAACTGAGTGCTCCAAAAAATTCTAACACTTCTGAGAAAAAAGTTTGAATTTTGGTTGAAAATTTGTTGTATTTTTTGTAGTTTTCTACGAAGTTTTAAAATTCGGTTTATATGAGTTTTGTTAGAAATTCAACTTTACTTTTGTTGCAAATTCTTAGCAATAAATAAATTAACATGAGAGGGAAATAATATTACTTTGAAATGGGGTTGCTATTGATATGACCGATACTGTATGTATATAATAAATTTTGTACAATTAAAAAAGTGGATTTACTAAAATGAACACAACGTGTTAATTACAAATTCTGAAATATGTCGTCAATTTCAAAAACAAATAAATAAAACTTTAAAAAGTAGTCAATGCTTGCTGTATGATACGAACTTGGATATACGTGGACTTGGGTAATGTATAGTTCCTTATATGATTCCTCAAAGTATCCCTTGTATAACACTGAGGAACACAAAAAAACCTTAGTGCGACTATATCAGGTTTGATAGCTGTTGGCCATACCAATAATGCCTCATACTAAGATTTACTAGATCAATTCGTGTTCTCCGAGAAAAATAATTTTCACGATCCAAAAATCTGAAAAATTGTTTTTCTCCAAAGTTTGAACATTTATCGTTTTTGGCCTATATTTTGTTGAAAATACCATACAAAGCAAATATAGGGCAAAAAACAAAGAATTTTTAAAATTTTGAGAAAAGAATTTGGCGGCTATACTCAGATTTTTGAATCATGAAATTTTTTTTTCTCGAGAACACGAATTGATCAAGTAAAACTGAGCATGAGGCATTATTGGTATGGTCAACAGCTATGAAACCTGATATATGCGCAAAAGAAGCCTATATGAAAGAGGGGGACAAAAGATCACACGTAAATGAATTCCTCTTTTTGGCCTGTACAATATAAGGGACACATTTCAAATTCATAAGGGATAATTTTCTTAGTGATACGGCTCATAAAAGGAATTATATAAGCCATACTGTTCTAGCTGGGTATTCATCAGCTCGAAAATTTTAAGCATATCATATTCCTGTGAATAAAAACACGCCTAATTTTATTATTTTAATTATCTACAATTTTATGAGACTACCAAGCCATATATATACCTATTCTGATAATCGGAACGCTGTTGAGAAGGCATACAATTTAGTACTTTTTCAACTAAAAGGCTTTTTTTTATTCCCGTTTATCTTGTACTTCCAAAATACAATATTGACCTAAGGTAGTTCGATTTCGAGCTGTCACAACGTACAACACCTTTCATTATTGCATCATGGTCTGTTTATTTATTCTTTAGAACGTTCCTGATGATATGTTGACGTATATTTCAAGCGCATTCTGTTTATTCCGGCTGTGAAATGGGATTATCCGGAATGTATAAAGAAACGCAGCCTAAAAAAATAGTGAGTGAGAAAAACGAAAATACATACATAAAATGATAGCCGTTTCGTTGTTCGGACTAAACTAAAAAACCAGTCAAATTGTTGGAGGTTATACCTTGCATATATTCCTATTATAGCCCATTAGACAACACGCTGGTGGCGCTGGAGTAGAGTTACTTATAAAATTCGTATTTATTAACCGATTACGTTCAAATTCGCAAAGTGATCTACCTGTATGATGAAAAGTTCGTTTCATAAAAATGAACCCGCTATATTTTATAAAATGTGATTGAAATTCAACTTAACTCAGTTAAGCCAAATTCCTTGACTTCGTCAAGAATAAGCTGTGTAAAACGTAGGCTAACTTTTGACTTAAGTCCGAAAAGTGGCTAAACTAAGTTAAGTTGAGTTGGAGAAACCAGCCCATAATGTGTATTCATTTCATGACAAGCAGTGGTTTTGCAGAAAAGGGACCTAATGGATTGCGCTGCAGCCGAAATATATAGAAACACACATGGGGTTTGATCTGCTTTGGCCCTATATTTATCTTAGACGAATTTTCTTTTCATATGGCTAAATGGAGGATTCGTTTAAGTATGCATGTAAAGACCGCGGATTCTTGGCTCTCCTATAACTGAAAACGCTCATCTTTGCTCTTTAGTTTCCTAATATGGACTTTTATTGGCTTACATCCAATGCTGAACATCGGACCAATGCTGAAGTTGCAAGGTCATAGACGAATATTTGGCAGAGATCCCACAGGTGGAAATAAGACCATCGGTAAAACTCATGACATCGAAAGGGATTAGTATTCCATATGGTATCACAGCGCTACTATTCTTGGCCTATGTATGAGGAGGACTCCGCTCTTTAATCGTTTCAATTTAAACTAAAAATGTTTACTTTAAATACCGCTTTTGCTTTTAAACGCTATTTTTGTATTGGCCAACGCAAAAGATCTTATAAGGCGCCGCGAAGCAAGCGGGCATTGGCTAGTTTGAGTTTAAGATTGAAGTTGCTAAAAATTGCGTTGACTTTTGGTATTTTTTTTCCTTCACAGTATAAAGCAGTTCTTTCCATATTAAGATATTTTTCCAACATATTTTAAGAGATTTCTGCAACCTTGAGGAGTGCTGCCAGCTTTTCTTTTTATCACATCACGAAGTAGTGAACAAATGTGGCACGTTCCAGAAACAGCTAATTGGGAAAGTAAAAAAAAGGTAAACAACGCCTCAGAAACCGTAGATGTATTTAAATTTGCTAATACTTTTACAAAAATCGCCGGTTTTTAACATTTTCGCTATTATTTCTTTTTATAAATCATATATTTTGCAATTTAACACAATAAAACGGCGTTTCCTGTCGAGAAATTGATTACTGAGAAAATTTACTATTTTACAGTTTATTTTATCCTCCCATTGGGCTTTGTTTACTTTTACTTGAGAAATTTCCTCGTCGCCGGGAATGCGGAATCTTGTATTATATCATTTTTGTTACCATATCTTGTAAAATTAAGAAAATGATGTCAAGCAAAAATAAAACTACTCAAAAACGCGAATATGTGGTAGATTTAAGACCTTGAGTGGTAGATGTGGTAGATGCTCAAAAAAGTGGCAGATCTACCACAATGTGGTAGAAGTCCGATCACTGTTGCCAAATTGTCTACACACAGAGCAACAAGTTGACCAATCTGCCTCAAAAATCAAAAAATTTTGATTTTTATCCAACCTGACGAACAACTTGACGGAGGTTTTCCAACTTATCTACACCAACTTCTAGCGGTTGGCCAACTGGTTGGCCGATAAACTGATGCGTGTGTAGGGCCTTTTAGTCAGCTTGCAGTCACGCAAGCGCGACCGCAAACCTGCTCGCTATATTTCTACCCTAAGGGCCAGTTACTCATTCTCTGGTTAATAGAAGTTGCGGGTAGAAATCGTTGTCGACGTGATCGACTCCATTACTGCCATACCTTAACAAAAGCGTTGGACGGAGCGTTTTCTTACAGCTAGCGTCAACGCCGACATGCTATACTTAAACTAAAGCGGCAACGCTACGTCAAATGCAGAAATAACACCAACAAGAAGCATGGGTTTATTTGTGTGAAGTAAGAAAATTACACCTTCGCTGTTTTCTGCAGCCGACTTCACATCCTACCGCCCTGTTAAAATCGGATTCTCCGGTCAGCGTTGACGCCGCGTTGATTCGGTATGCTTCATATAACGTCGATAACGATGTTTAGCCTGCAGTTAGTGTTAACCACACATTGAGAAAACGACCCTAAGGCCCGGTTACTCAATGTCTGGTTAACAGTAATCTCCGGTAAAACATCGTTATCGACGTTACCGACTCCATGCTATATGCATAGAGTTTAAGACGTCGATAACAATGTTTAACCAGATATTAGTGTTAACCAGGCACTGAGTAACCGGCCCTAAGTCATATATGTAGATGAGGTCCTACCATGCGAATTAATCAAGCTATTACCAAGGGCCGGTTGCTCAAAGCCTGGCTGACACTAATCCCCGGTTAAACATCGTTATCGACGTTACCGACACCGTGTTATATGCATGGAGTCGCAAACGTTGATAACGATGCTAACCGATGATTAGTGTTAATCAGGCTTTGAGCAACCGTCCGTAAGAGATGCTTTTTAATTTTATTATTTTCGCCGCTCATTAATACTAGGGATGTTGCGAATGTCAAATTTTAGACATCCGCGGATGCGAATGCCGATGCGGATGTCTAACAGCTAACATTCGCGCATGCGAATGCGGATGTCAAGTATTTTTAAGAAATAACCGGGTAAGTAAACTAAGTTATTTAGGTAAATAAAAAAATTTAAAAGTTAGTAATTTTTAATAATGTTTATTTTATTTAGTACTTGAATTTAAAAATTGAAAATTTTATTTAATTTTTAAAAGTAATGAGAATTGCCTTGGGGGCTGCAAATATCAGATGTACTCTCCTGACTTTCATGTTCACTTGAAGAATCTAGCATAATGGTGAGATCGCTGTTTAAACAGCGCTTACAAACGAAACCAGATGTGTCAGGTTTTTCTGGAGCTTTTTAAAAAGAATTCTTCATTCTCATTCCTTTAGCAGTTTCAGAATTTGGGGAGCTTGTAACGTCA